GCTTCCTTCCTTTCCTCCTCCTCTTCCTGCTCCTCCTCCTGCTCCTCCTCCTCCTCCTCTTCCTCCTCCTCCTCCTCCTCCTCCTCCTCCTCCTCCTCCTCCTCCTTCCCCCTCGAGGACGCGGGGTGGGGAGGATAGAAGGGGGAACGGGGGTTGGAGGGAGAAGGCAGGAGGAGTGACGGGGGAGGAGGAGGGATGGCTCGGAGGGTTCCTGGGCCCATCTGGGGGTTCTGGAGGTATCCGACGGTCATCCCTCTCCTCCTGCTAATCTTCCTACGCTCCCCCGCACTGCATCTTCCTCCTCCTCCCCCACCCCTTCTCTTTTCTCCTCCCCCGCCTGCCGATTCCTTCTCCCTCCTCCTCCCTCCTCATTCTCCTCCTTCATCCCTCCATATCCTTCCTTCTTACTTCTCGCTCCTCCCTTCCCCCTCGCCCCAACCCTCCCTAACCTTCTGATAGGGGTTATGAAGATCGCGCCCCATAGTTGACGGCAGATGGACGTGGAATTAGGAGGGGCGGTGGTGTTTCTGATGATGTTGTTCCTGATGCTGACATCAGTGTTGATGATGCTGATGCTGATGCGGATGCGGATGCCGCAGATGATAATGCTGATGATGAGGGTGTGATAACGATGAGGATGATGATGGCGAGGGTGTTGATGGTGACGGCCATGCTGATGATAATGACGATGATTATAATGAAGCTGAGGATGCTGATGATGCTGATGATGACGACGATGATTCTGATGATGACGGTGCTGATAGCGAATATGATACTTACGATGATGATGGTCATGGTGACGTATATTCATGTAGATGATGAAGGCGGTGTTGACGAAACCAGTTCTGATGGTGATGTCGGTGATGATGATGCTAGCGAGGCTGACCATGATGACGACGATGAGGATAAGGATGCTGATGCTGCTGATGATGATGCTCAGTATGGCAGATCATGCTGAGGATGATGATGCGGATTAGAAGTATGCTGATTATGATTGTGATGATGATGCTGATGATGATGCTGATGCTGATGCTGATGCTGATGCTGATGCTGATGATGCTGATGATGCTGACGCTGATGATGCTGATGATGATGATGATGCTGATGCTGATGCTGCTGATGATGCTGTGGATGACGATGATGATTCTGCTGATGCGGATGATGCTGCTGATGATGACGATGGTGATGATGGTGATACGGATTATGATGATGGTGGTGATGATGCTGATGATGATGACGATGATGATGATGATGATGATGATGATGTTATTGTTGTTGTTGATGCTGATGATGATGATGATGATGATGATGATGATGATGCCGATGATGTTGATGCTGCTACTGATGATTATGATGGTGGTGATGCTGATAGTGTTGGTGATGCTGATGCTGATGATGCTGCTGATGCTGATGATGATGCTGATGCTGGCGTGATGGTAACCAGGATGACGATGCTGGTAATGATGGTGATGAGTAAGATGTCGATGGCGATGACTGTGATGGTTATGATAATGATGATCACGGTGGTAGAAATGCTGATGATGTTGTTGCTGATGTGATTACGATGATAAGATGATAATGCAGATGCTGTTGATGATGATTATGCTGCGACTGGTGATGATGTTGATGCTGCTGCTGCTGATGATGATGATGATGAAGCGGCCGCTGCTGCTGATGAAGATGATGGTGGTGATGATGATGCTGATGATGATGATTGTGATGATCATGCTGATGATGCTGCTGATGATGATGCTGATGATACTGGTGGTGGTGATCATTATGAGGAGGAGGAAGAGGTGCCCTCAGATGACCCCTAACAGGTTCAACACATATATATATATATATATATATAGATATATCCCTAAGCGAGCTTCTAGGACTAAGAGAAGAGGGAGTAGGAGTTGGTGGAGGAAGGAAATAACTAGGAGGTAAGGATGAGGCCAGAGTAGGCGGATGAAGACAACATAGCAGGGGAGGGTGACGGAAACGCTGGGAGTGAGGAGGAGTTGGCGGAGGTTGAGGAATATGCTTATGGAGGATGGAGGAGACGGAGGAAGGAGGAGAAAGGGGCAGGAAGAGGATGGACGAGAAGGAGCAGAAGGAGGAGGCGGAGGATGAGAGGTCTGGAGGAGGCCCCGGCCCCGCTGCCGCTGCGGGCAACAGCATCGGCTGCCCCCAAGGTGCGCGGAAACGCTGGACCCAGACAGCGCGGAGATCAAGGCGAAGAGGGCCAAGGTCGCCGCGGCCGAGTCGGGCATGTCCGCGGACGCCGACAACAAGGTACCCCTCTCTCTCTCTCTTTCTTTTTCCTCCTTTCTTCTTCGTCCTCCTCCACCTCCTCTTGGAAGAGGACAGGACACCGATGCTGTTGCTCTCCCCTCGTCGCCACGGGTGGAAGCATCCCGAAATCCTGCTCAGAGAGCACCCCTGGAGAGGTCCCGGGAGCAGCAGCGGCATCGGTACTTTTGTTGTCCCCCCCTCCCCCCCCCTCCCCTCCTCC